AAGGCTGCCTCAGCACCAATCGTAAGTCTACGTGCAGAGCCATCAATACCGACATGGATGAATAATTAGAGCTGCTGCTATCTTGTAGCCTTATGCGCATATGCTCAAGCCGTTGCTCCTGTAGGACAAATTGCTGCGCAGGCTGTCAAAACTATACAACGGTACGCATGGGGTATTCGTCTAGTGAGCGCTCATATACATACATTCGTCACCGCATGCGTGCATGAAATCCAGGATTGGTTAAGCTTCGAAGCGCTGGAGAGAAGCAGACTGAGACAGCTGCCCGCCTTAGAACAAACGTTCTTCAAAAGAAAGATCACCGAGGGGGCTTTCACCTAAACTGCAAACCGATAGACTGAGCAGGCAAAATCCGTCGCTTCATGGGGCGGCCTTCCCAACGACGATTCTAGTTTTGGTAAAACCTATTTCTGCTTCTGTTGCGAAAACCCCCTATTATAGGGGAAAAAGTCGGATTGTACATGGCTGGATTGCCTTTAGAGTTTTGTAACAACTGGGATTGCGCTTGTTGGAGTGCAGCAGCGACTGAAGTACAGCCTATCTTTAATGCAGCAGAATGGCGACTGGATTGGCGTTCGCCACAAACTTATGCTGTTCAAACGCTAGGCAAAAACGTGCGAGACAAAATCCCATATTTTGGGCTGGTACTTCCTTTGGTCTGCCAAATAATTAGGGTCTGAGCAGCCGGTTCCGGATAAAGTAATAACTTCAAGTCGAGACTGACGTTTGTGATGACAGGGCAACACGTACAGTACATGGGTACAGGCTTGCTTACAATTGAGTGAGGAGTTCAGTGCGTACAGGAGGTTGTTCGGACAGCATTTTTACGTCGAACCTGCAGCTTCGTTCAGATTGAGGGACTCGGCTCCCCTCAGGCGTCCTTGTAGATTCCCGGAGAAGGGGGCGCTCAAAGCCCTCGCCACGCTAGGACACTAGGAACCGCATAATTATGGATACACGGCTACATTTCACACAGTGGCTCTACAAGCCTCTAGGAGGGTGATGGCTCTAGCTCAAGTCAACTTAACCTTTAAAGGCCGTTTTAGGAGCTATTGTGAGTACCTGAGCCACCAGCGCTTTGCTGTTATGACGATCCCGTCAACTATCCTGCAACTACCCAGGAGCGTGAGAGGCTAAGCTGGGTTACGCTACGGCCGTCACCCTCCTAGAGGCATGTAGAGCCACTGTGTGAAGTGCGGCGTTGAGTCCATAATTGTGCGGCTGTTAATGGTCTAGCGTAGTGACGCCTTTGACCTGCGCTTATTTTCTACCTGAAGCCACTGCCTGAAATTGCTACAAAACAATTGACCAGTACAGTGGCTGCCTAGGTGTACAGTTGGGTGTACTGGGCCGGGCAGAAGGAGTATCAACTGACAAGCTGTTCTCGCTAAGCCTGACGTCGCCTTGACGGAACAATTGTGTCCGCCAGTTGAGTCTGTATTATTCTGTAGCAAGCCCAACAAGGACTTAGGAAGACAGGCGGAACACTGGGTCGCCTGTTTGGCTGTACCTTTCGATAATCGTCCATTAGCTACGTGCCCCGGAGAACGGCACAAAAACAACCTCGGTACGGTTCCCACATATAACGTAAGGGAGGGGCTTCCCTCTACATGCTTTTCCCTTCGCTGGGGCAGTACGGCAGCTAACACAATACCCCAACGCCGATATATCCAAGATCATCAAGAACTTAGTTTGCGCCGCAAACTCCAAAATCCATCGGATGTGCACACGAAGGTAGAATCATGATCCCGGGAGCATCGCTTCGAACTGCATAGCCCGAGAAAGAAGCTGTTTTCATTTCCGATTCTTGAAACACTGTTTTTTTCGACGATTTCCCGCAGAAAGTACAGAACGTCGGTTTGATCGGAGAATCCGGCTAATCAGCTGCACCAAAGTTTTGACAAACAGATTTCGGTGGTCTGCTTTGTACGGTGCCTTTTCGTTTACTGGCTTGTCTGACTCTAGGGAAACGGGAAAGCTGGCATTTCTTGGTTTGCCGCGATATTGGCGGGTGCGGTAGCTTTCAGCCACAACCTCGGTAACAGGGCCGAGTGCAGAGCGTATCCTTCAAAATATTCGCAAGATCTTCCACAAGGATTAGCCCACAATTACACAAGCGGCTCGCTTTTAGTTGTTGCCAACTGTCTCACCCGCCTCGGGACCGTGGCGCTGTCAAAGTTGAAACACACGCGTGGAGGCCCCAAACATTTGACCCTCATAAGCCAGCACTGCCAGCTTCGCGCTCCCTGTATTTATTCTGGATGCCCCGAGCCTGGCGTCGTTTAAGCTTTCCTACGGGGGCCTGTACAAGGCAATCGGTGCACGCCGCTTGTCTGGGTTCGCTCCAACTTGGCATTTGACTTAAAACTGATCTATTTCCGCCAGTGCCCTATGGCCGCAAAAGCTATCGTACTTTAGCCAGTAACCTTCATCACACAGCCCCAACATCATCCGCATGAAGAGGTGCAGTGCGCCTGGGCTGTAAGTGTTATGTAGAAGGTTATGTTTTCCCTCCGTAGCGTGTCCTTAGAATAACCTGCTTTTCCCTGTGTATGTGACCCTTGGTTGCAGCTTGAGCCGAGACATCCAGTCCCGCGAAGGCTCCCGGGCAGACGGGATAGCTGATTATCCGTGCCTTTAAGGGCATGCGACTGAAAGCGCCTTTGACGGCACCCAGCGTGCCGGTCTAAACATGTACTCTACACAAATATCCATGGGCCCAAAACCAGGTTCAATACATGTGCCAGAGTCACGGTGGAGCCTTGGACGTGCTCGCAGTATACTCATTGAAGAAAGTAAGCTAAGGCATGTCCCCTCAAACGCGCTATCCTTAGTTATCGAAACTGCTCTGAGACTGACGACACATCACTCCAGCACAGGAGTTCAGCACGGTAGTGTATAATATGGAGGGCTTCCCGCCACTGCAATCAACAGCGCTGCTACTAGCTGGCAGATGTTCATTCTGCTAGTCAGACGGAAACGCATCGGTAATCAACAATCGCTTGTAACAGGCTTGCAACCTTTAAATAATCCCCAAAAGAGAGATTTACGGACAGGGCGGCGGCCTGTCTGGTCAAGGGCGAGAAACCAACCCCCATTTCGTGGCGTTCATTCAAACGCAGACAAGAGTCCGAGCAGAGCCAGTAGTCAAGGCTACCTAGCGAGCAAACTGACTGTTGTTCAGCAACGACAAATAAGGTATTTCCTTCATCAGATCTGAAAACCCGGTGGCAAACCTATTTGTCGACCCAGGCGCAACCGTTAGCTAGCCAGTCATAGGACTCACGGCAGCTGCAGGCGGGTTCGCTTTTTCTGAGTAATGTTGAAACGGATATGCTGGTCATATTGTCATTATCATTCTCTTCGTTTTGACCGTCCCTCAGGTTGGGCAACCCAGTGATCTCGATCGCTGCGCACATCCACACTAAAAACCCACCCGAATTGTAACCGTGACTGTCCGTGTCGGCGTCCTTGCCCCTGATCCGTTGTCTTTATCACTCCACTTCTTACTTTCCCAGATCTTCTCCTCTTTGTATTCTGGCTCCTAGTAGCCCAGAGCAAACCTCCACACTTTTCATTGTGCAGAATGTTGTTGTAATCACACGGGTAGTGATATGGTCTCCAAATCTTCTATACTGGACGTGTCTTGTGAAAGCCAGTTTCTAGCTGCAGGTTACGCTCAGAATTCCTTCCTTCAATGGCTTGTTCTGCAGTTCTACGGTCAACTCAGCAAAGGAGTAGGAATGCGGTAATGCAAAACGCTGCAGAAAGTCCTCTCATTCCATACACGGACACGTAGCTAGTTTACGAGCGTTCGCATTCACCACTAGATTTTCGCACTGAGAGGCCCACTTGCACAGTCGTAAGAGCTGCAGTGAAACCTGTTACTGAGGGAGACTTAGGGGTAGTAAAAAGAGATATCTTGATTTTTCGGCCGTTGAAGAATTCCATCTGACTACTTCGCAGCGTTTATTCTCGTGGGCTCCGCAGTTATACCTCGAAGTGCATAACCACCGAGGTGCCGTAGTCATTTCCGGAGTTCTTCTAGATGCTGCACAGTGGCTGCAAGGCCATGACATGTTTCCTCTCGAATTGGCATTCAGCTTTTGAGAAAAAAATAGGATTTGGCGCTTCCCCGTTTTTGAAGTAGGTAACAGCCAGTCGTTGATCGTTCCTCCGGCGTGGCCCGCGGTGTATATGGATAGATGACATACATAGAAAGGGACCGAAGAATTCAAGGGTTTCCACGTAGTGCCGCTCGCAGAAGGAAAGGAAGCCTTCAAAACGCGTAGGAAGCTGCTCTTTAGAACGGGATCTACACAAGTGAGTTCTAGTCAAAAATTAACCAGACAGTTCGCCTTGTCGCGTTGGTGCAGCCTTTCAGCGCATTCAAATTCCGCTATGTGTTCGAGCGCTCTCGCCCAGAGCTGCTGCTTAAACTGCTTGAGCATTTCTTGCTGGTCCTGCTCTTGGTGTGTCTTTTGTATGCTGACTGATTGCTGTACCGTCAGTTGCTTCCAAGCCCAAAAATGACGGCGAAGAGCTGCTCCCATCAGTATCTTCTCAGCCTAAAGTGCGCAAAGTCTCCCCACGGAAGCGCAAAAACGTGCCGCTATCACCACCTTACTTGCTAACATAGCTTATATGCTCCACCTCGGTATAGTGGAATGAGGGGAACAGAAGAGGGGACGATACGCCACAAACCATACTTTGATATGCAAGTTACTGGCCCCCAAAGAGGGTTGTGGGTGTTTATTCTAGGGAACACTTATGGATTATAGGAAGGAAAAAGCAGATCGGAGTAAATGCGCCACATACGCAGAGCAGCTGACGGTGCAACCCCAAAGAAAAGACACGCTTACACAGAAGCCTCCAACTTACATTGTGTTTCTCTTCCTCAGCGGCGGCCGCTAGTCCGTGAACATTCCGAATATCTTTATGACAGAAGCCCTGAAGAGTGCTCATTAAAATTTCGTTTCACCTCAGCATTCTGCTTCCCCCTTGAGGGCCATCAACCAACGGATGCAAGCACAACGAACGCTGATGGGCGTGTCCTGCAATTGCATTTGCCATGCTGTGGCCTGTTGACAGCAAGATATCGAGATCATGACCAACGTACCTCTTGCGGATCATGCCTTGGAGGTTCATTGGATTTACGTAGGTTCATAAGGTTGAGAAACACAGGTCGAGCTAGTACCGAGACCAAGTACTTGGCCAACAGGCTGCAGAAAGATCGTTGTTGCCTTAACCTCCCTACCGTAACCGCTGCATCTACAGCAGCTTTCCGGAGAACTATTGCCCTGCAGCAAGGTCCACCAGCAAAATGTGTAATATATCTTTAGCTTAGCAAAAACTTAGTTTATGCTGGGAGCCGTTTGTGCTACTTCTCGCTTTTTCCACACGAAACGCTTTCCTATGTGAGATTCTCACTTCCAGAGCAGAAGGCAGCGAGCCTTTAGCGTCGCCGCTCTCTTCCAACAGTGTTGCTTTGCCAGGGACTCAGCTTCCGAAGCCATCAAGCAGGGCGGTATCAATACCGGCTCGTCTGTCACCTGTTCGCGAAGCGTTACAGCTATTCTTCTGTCTCTCCGCCTCTCCTTGTTGACAAGCCGGGTAGCGGGGGGCCTTTGAGCTGCCTCAGGTCCACTCTCGTGAGTTTTTTTATCTTCCGCCCTATTCTGGTCAAAATAATTGCTGAATGCATGCCAGCAGACAACGCTGAGGGAGCGACGCTTTCAGTGGAGTTAAGGGGCAGAAGCGTTCCATTTTGTGGCTTCATAGGCCCAACATAAACATAGACAAAATGTAGAACAGCTGTGGGGTGTTGTCTTGAAGGCATTCTGCTTTCGGCTACCGAACGCTAATGCTTCTCTGTACGTGGAGCTTATAGATGCTGTATTGAGGCAAATGTTTGCTGATGCGATCGCCTGCAGGCGAGCAAGAACACAACGCCTCCCACGTCTACCAGAGGTTTGTTAGATAACACGAAACAAATTATACTATTGGTATTAGGGATGCGTTGCTAACTATATGAATTGCTAAATAACGGGCCGTCGGGAGTGTAAGCGCCCCAGGAGAAAGGTGACAAGTTTGGCAGGCTTTAGTCTTTACAAACGTTGTTTGATTTCCTGATGTTCTGTCTATGTGGCTGCTCACTTTTTGACGAGAATTGGGACGTTCTCACTTATCTCCTGGGACACTCGCGCAGTTCCGTTCCACGACGTCTTAGTTAGGACATCGTGGCAAGGAGACTTAGCCGACAAAGGAACGAGGGTGCAATTAGCAGTTGCATTGTATTCTTGCGGATGTGAGCTACTTTTTTGGCATGCGTTAAACATTGCAGCGGTTGGCTGAGTATGCAGGCACGGAGCGTCTATTAGGGCTACACCGTTTTGCTTGAGACCGGTTTCCTGTTCTCCCTTGGATGGTCTGTTGCATTTGGGTTTTCCGAATTTTTCTGAACCATTCAAGAGGCTGCAGCTGGTTTGCCTGAGCGCCTTCACTGAAGAACCTTCCGTGCTTGCACCGGTGAGGTCTACAGGAAGGTGACTACCGGTTGTGGAGATCTCAGACGAACAAGATAATGAACAACCTGATGGAGGTGCCTGTTGCGCCGCTTGAGCCAAATCAACGAGTTTTAAGCAGGGCACCTTTATATGTAGGCTGCTCTTCTTTCCAACAAATTTCTCTTCTCCGCCGCTAATTTCCCCTTTCATTTGCCGGTGGTTTTGCCCACCTACGCGCGACTGGACAGCACCATACGAAATCGGAAACAAACCAAGCGCGTTATATTTGCGCCTGGCACGGACTGCTTCAACTCTTGATATCGCGGGGGATGCTAAGGGAGAGTTCGTATAAGTGTAATCCTTTTTCGCCTTTCCTGTAGACAGCTGTGCACCCACGTGTCTGCCAAAAGGGGTAAATCTGCCGCGGCCAAGAGTCGATGGCTCCTTTGACATTAACTGTGCATGGCGCAATCGCCGTCCCCGCAGTCCAAGCGGAGCGTGTCTTGCAGCACCCTGATCTTCATTGTCTTCTGGAATCTGGCTTCTTGCAGTTGTTGGCGCTTCTACAAAGGCTCTTACTGCTTGGAGTTGTTTGTTCGCAATGCCTGCAGATTTTTTGCTCTGTGGAAGCACCGGCTTTTCGACAGTTATGTCCCGTTTTTTCACCGCAGCATGACGGTTTTCGGGAATCAACTTCTGCGCAACAATCACTGCCTCTCCTGAGTCCTCCCGCAGCTTCTTATCCTCTGGAGCCAGCTTATGTTGGTTCCTCCAGTGGAGTGAGCTGGTTGAAATGTCATTTATTGTAGGGAATGAGAGGACGGTTGAGCTGTGCTTCATATCGTTCGCCATCGATTTCCCCACGATGCAGAGCTGAGTAGATTCTCCCCCACGAAGCTGATTCTGATGTTGGCAACTCATGGGCAACAAATTACTTGAATGACCTTCATTATGGCTTTCAGCATTTCGAGATGTCTTTGGCACCCTGGAGAGTTGTTCTACATTCAATGGGCGGTGCTGACTCTCTAGGTTTGTTACATGGAAGCTTTGCAAATGCTGAGCGGAAGCAAAATTCTGCTTAAAATATTCCATCCGGTCTACGAGTCCCCGGAGAACCTGATGAACGACGAATGAGGTTTGCCCTGCTTGGTGCTCCAGCTCCTGGTGTTGAGCGCTTTGCGCTTGCGTGTGCGGACACGAAGGAATAGCAGACCGCCTTTGTTGAGGCGTCCAAGCAGTGCCGGCATGCTCCGCCAACGGTACATTTGATCCTAGACTCCCTTCATATGCAAAACCTTCCTGCTTCTCTTCATGTGTTTTGTCTTCCTGTTGTTTTCTCGTCTGCCCATCCCTAGACTTCTTGGTCATCATAGGCGTTTCAGGCGCAGGTTCTTCGTAGTGCAGCTTCTCCTGCTTTGGGAGTCGATCATGGTGTGCTTCTACTGGCCTCTCTTGAGTTGGATGTTGCACAAGTGGAATACTGCGCGCTTCCGCTTCTGTCCTGCTGGTGTCGAGCAGCCTGAACTGATAGCTGAACGACTGCCTCTCGGCGGCAAGCTGCTGTCTGAGCTTGTCCGCCACACTTTCGCGATCGCTTATGAGGCGAATGCCCTCTGCGCATGAGACTAGCTTTTCCTCTCGGTTATCGCTGATCTGCTGTGACCTGATGCCTTCTGGGGAGGCCAAAGTAGAGAGCATCGAGTTGCTGACATATTCCTCCACCAAATCATTTTTTTGGCCCAGTGGTATTGCAGTTTCGCGTGTCGATGTTGTTGCTAGCTGCTCTAGAGAGTTGCGTCGTTTTTCTAGCCCGTTTACATCGAGCAATTCAGATTGATTCAAACTGTGACCCCGTGACGGGCATGCTGAGGATAGCGTCTGGGAAACGCGCTGCTGTAACCTGGGCGCACAAGGAAAACGGTGCGATGAAAGAACGCGCTCTGGGAATGATTGTCGCTGCGATTTCCTGTGTGATTCATGCCCAGATAACGTTCTTGGTGTTAAGGCTGTTAGTTGCCGTGAAATCTGGCGATTCGGCGAAGCCATTACTTCGTGGTAGACCATCTGCCCTTCGATATCGCAAGCACGGTGCTCGAGCCTCAAAACCGCCGTCCGCTGTGGTGTGGCTGGGCAAGAAAAAAATCCTGTGTCTTCGTGAACCAGTGTAGCCGGCCACTCTGTTAGTTCATTCCCCTGTTCCCGGCGCTCGGCTTCCCCCAAATGTTCTCCAGGCCGTGGCTCCTGGATTTGGTTGTCCTGCTCCTTTGACTTTCTGGGCTCGTGCAACTTATGTTGGTCCAGCATTTCCGGGAGTCGTCTACAGGTGGCACTGCCGCAAGAGAGTGTTGGGGTTCCTAGTTTAGTTGCTGCTTCCATAGGAGGCTTACGCCTTGACGTGTAGAGTAGAGGCTGGAGCAGGTACCCATGCTGCTGCTGAACCTTGCTCGTCTGCGAAAAAAATTCTGTAGCGCCCAGTTGTACAGCCACTGTTTCAGTTAGCGTCTTATCCGCTATGTCCGGCACGTTTTCACAATATATGGGAATAGGAGCCTTTGAGCACGCTGGAACTGGCTGAGAAGCATGAGTAGCGTCAACGCCAGAAGCTACATTTTCGTCTTCTGGTTCATCTGCTGTTAGCGGCAGCTCCCGGTTTTCTTGATATTCAACGCGAGAAGCTGATGAGTTGGCAGCAGAGGCGACACTTGCCGCACCATCATCAGTGTCGGAAGTAGGACGCGCGCTAATATCGTTGGGATGAACTAAGCTGGGGATGACCGGCTGTTCGCCGCTGGAAACCTCATGGGTTTGTAGAGCCCCCGTGGTACACTTGCTTCCGCAATGCGTGCTTATGTAAAACAATCGTACCATGCTAGCAGGGGGCTCACAGCTTTCCTCAGCTTGAAAGCAGTTATACAAGCCAGAGCTATTCTGCTCGCATTCATCCGTCGCCATTCCATGGGCAGACTGAGGATTCTGCGAACTGGGCGGCGTTGTCACCGCCGGAGCAGCAGCGGTTCCAGGAGCTACACTGTCTAGCGATGGAGGTGATTTGGGAGATTTTCCGTTGAAGCAGCTTCGAAAAAATGCAAATGCACTATTGCGCAGCTCTCTTGCAAAAGCTTTGCTGACAGCCTAAACACAAAAACTTGGCACTAACTACTCCTAATTTCCTGAACAGCTCCGACAGTTTACACTCTCGAAGCATCTGGAAAGAAGTACTAATCATCAGCAGCGGCAGGAATTGCATTAGACTTTAGGGAACCACTAGAAACCTCACTTTCCACATGACTCGAGCGAGATGCCTTAGAGCCGCAGGTTGCAGACTAGGCACGGATGGCTTGTTGGCAGCTGCTGTCTGTGGCAGTTTCGTGGAAGCTTCGGCAGATTCGTTGTTAGTTGGACGAGAAGCGTACAGTGGGACAGTTGTATGACTCTTCAACTTACCCACTCGCTGGCTTCCAGTTGATACTGCGCACACTTGAGGAAGCCCCTCTTTAACTCGAACTGCTAATTGTGTTGTAGCTGTTAGCGCCGTTGCGGTTGCATCTGTTGATATTCCAGATGATTTCCCGTCTGCTGGTGCAACCCTATTGCCTCTTGCAACATCTGAAATGGGAGAAATGGGGGCAGATGCAGGATAGGCTTTCGAATCTCTTCTCCTTTTCGTCAGACTATCTTGAGAGGGACGAATATATACAGAATGTTGTGCTTTCATAGGGCTCCTCGAGTCCCCAATTCCCGTCAGCGCTTGCACTAGAGGCTTTTCGTATGGTATCATTTCAGCGATGGGGGGAGACCGCCTGAACGTTCCGTTGTTGCTCACTACGTGCGTTACCTCAGAAACAACAATGGGCGCTGGGGCAACAGATGTTTCCACGGAGCGGTGAAACGTATCGCTGTCACACCGTGGTCTGGGGTTGACGCCTGCAATACTACGGGAAAGGAGGTCAGAGTCCGTTCTTCGACAGTTTTTGGCGACACTTTCTGTGGACGTATGCAGTCGCTTTGAATTTTCTGGCTGCAGCCTTACTCCCACTGCGAGGAAGTTCTCAGCGGCTATCTGTTCCACTGATATCTCTTTTGTTTTTCTTCGCGCTGGCAAATGGAGACTCTTGGTCTTGGGTTGCACCTTAGCGCCTTTGGTTCGGTTACTTGAGCTGGAGATTGTGCTAGTTGTTATATCGTATGCTCTAGGATTTTGACGAGAAGGAATTTCAGTTTTGGGAGGGAGGTGGGAATGCGTGCACCCATGCTTTCTGTTAACTCTGAGAGAAGGGGCTGCGACGGGAACCCTCGTCGACAATTTTACGTGTGACAAACGTGGCTGCGGCGAGTACCCCAATACTGTCCGAGCTTCTCGCGCTGCTGTGACTTTCTTTCTAATGCGTGCAGCCACTTCTTCGGTCTTACATTTAGCCCGAATGAAGGCGTCAACCTCTTCTGGCTCCAGTGTAATGCCTGTTTTCAAGTCAGTTTTCGTGCCGCTCTCGAGGAGCCCCACTTGTAAGTCTTTCCTGTGGCTTATGGAGGCAGCGGCAAAAGCCGCTGCCGCTGCCGCTGCAGCCCATCCCTCTGAAGTCGCATACGGCGGACCTTGCCGGAAATTTCCGATATTCTTCGACTCCTCTAGATTGTAAACTGAGGATTTGCCTGCGACGACACAAATGTATCAGGGCATCGGCCTTCGCTCTTGCCCTTGGTGATGTTGAGACAAGGTGTATCTTAGCTGTTACTCTGGCTTTAGGGGTTTTATGAAGGGACTTAAGAAGTCGTGAGGGGATCAATAACACAGTACTTTCTGCATCTGGAGGCCCGTCCTTGCAGTGTCTGTGTAGAGAATCGTTGATAAGCTTGTCGATCGTATCAGAAACGTTCGAAAAACAAAAGCCATCTTCCTCTGAACCGTCGAGGGATATTCCGCCTGCGACCCTCCTCGCATCATCACCTGCATCGGAGCTTTCGCTCCCAACGGTAAACACTGGCTCTGGCCTGTTACTGGCCGATTTCGTGGTCACCGCCAATCTTAATGTGCTACCTTTTTCTGAATTAAGCGGAAGAGGAGAGCTTGCTAAGCTACTGCAGCTGTCACTGCCAAAGGACTCCCAAGCGCTGGATACAGCAATGGCAGGCGGTCCTACGACATCAGGGAGTCGTGTTTTCCATCCATGTATGTTTACGTTTTCTGCGCCATGTCGTCGTTTCGAAAGGTAACGTTCCGAGTAATGAACAGGATTTGCTGCTGTGAATCGGAGGGGGGTCTCGGAACGATGGTGGTCTTCTGCGGTTAGAGCTGACGGCGGGGAAAAATTTCCAAACAGGACAGCAGAAGGCGTCCAAGCGGATTTCTGGCTAGTCAGATAATCCCTTGCTGCGCGGAAGCGAGGCAAACTCTCACTGTCATCGTTAAGGTACCAGGCATTCTCGCTATCTCTGGTAAGGAGCATTTCCTGCGCCTCAGTACAGGGATGTGCAGGACCGCCTTCCGTGCTACCCCATAAGATTAAAGCCACACAGAAGTTACACGAAATAAATTCGACCGCCGAATCCTGAGAGAGGTTTTGGGGAGGAGTACTCCCTGCGAAATGGGATGAGAGGAAGTGCACGTGAATCTGCAGGTAGTTGCCACGCCGCAGTGACAAACTCAGTGAACTCCTCCGCTATTCACCTGCACACACTACTAGTAAAGGGACATGTGTTTACTGCATATGTAGCGTATTGTTGACTGTTAGCTTTGTGCAAAAATAAAATTTATGTAGGTTGCGAAGGAAAATGCGGTGTGCCGCTCGAGTGGAAGATGCCTCCAAAATGAACATGTTCAGGTGGTATCTTCCTTGCACTTTATAGTAGATAAGTGATGGATAGCAATGCGTTTGGCAAATACTAGTGCTATATTTTAAATTTGTCGGCTTGGTATTCTACTGGTTGGTCTAGCAAAGACACTAATCGCAGCCCGCTAGAGACGTAAGCAGCGTCGCTCCACAGCGAGGGAGTCTCCCTCGTGCCGTCCATAGGGATGCAGGCGTCAATATGAAAACAAGCTATTTTTTGCACTGTACTTTTTTTGAACTAGATAGACGTATTTATTAATCGTTTCAGGATGTATAGTGCTTTACGGAAGAATGAGATTCACAGGGAGATACCGGAAAAATGCGCAGGTGTGCATCCGCGCCCTCTACGCCATTTGAATCTTGGGGCATCCTTATGCGTTCACACACTGAATGTACAAACCTGATTGTATACGCGCAAGGGACGGAGCAGATTTGAAATTGAGTAAGTTGGATCAAGTGCGCACCTCCAGGAGGTGGGGCAACAGCACATGCCGCTCAGTGGAGCAGCCGCTTGTCGGTCAAACACCAAATACTGGCTTCTCGTCACACTTTAAAAGGCCTATAACCTTCTTTTTCTATATGCTGTCCAAGGATGAGGCGACAGGAGCACGAGTAATCCATCTAGACGCTGGCGACCTTTGTGAAGTACCGTGGCAGGGTCTTCATAATGTGGGTAGGAGTCGTTAGACGAGCCATCAGCATCGCTCTCAGCTCCGCTTTGGGGAGTCTCGTGCGCAATAGTGTATGGCATGATAGACCCAGACTGACCTTAACTGCATGTGTTCAACCGTGAATTGTGGTACTTACGTGGCATCCTTGCGAAGTAGCTTAAGTACCAACTTGTGACTTTTCACTCTGCACAATCCTGACAGACGCCTACTGGAGCTTAACCTAATGTGCTGCGTTTTTGCAATGATTCTATGCACACTTACTGAGTATTATCGTCCCCCTCCTTCACTATTTGCGCCAACCTTTACCTTCATACTTTTCGACGGATAGTCTCTCGGCTCTCCTTCCCTGTCATTTGCTGCCACTGACGGACATCGGGCCGGCTCGGGAGGAACGCCTGTAGTTCCTGAACAAGCATAATTAAGAGGCAAACAACTAGTTTGTGAGCTCCGCGTCTGCAGTTGGTTTGCTGGATTCGTAAACTTGCGAAGGGATAAATTGATAACTGGATTTGGGCGGTGTGCCTTTCCTTCATCCACTAGGCGGTGAAAACGGGGTTCTGCCTACGTTGCCACTAGTGAGCTGTTTGGTTGAGCCCAATGCCTAAGATTGAGACAGAGGGAGCATCTTCAAACCGATGTGGCAGAGGGGGTTTTGGTTTAACCGCGTTTAACTGCGCCAGAAAGACCTAGATAGACCCTGCTGAGGAACAGATAGACACAGATAGCGAAACATTTATACTCACAAAACAGACATGTTTTTGCTAGAAATTCCTTTCCACCAAAAGAATAATTCCGATGCTGTCCCAACGGTTGAACTCCCAAGTATGAAAAATTCATAGGCCAAGGGAAGGAAGGAAGTGGGTAAACCTGCGCTTAATTACCAGAGAAGCCTGGAAAGCGGAGAGCTGGAGGGACGGACAGATACATTTGAGGCTCAGATGCGTTCGGTTACTATGAATCGCCAATGCTTCACAAACTTGACTGGTTTTGTATATAATAAACACAGCTCCTCCAAAGCGGATGCATACGCGCATGTATGAGCCATAGAATTATCATGGTTTTCCATCTGAAAGAGAGCATCCAATAAACTACAGTTCCTCTAATGAGCCATTCGCAGATTCACCGTACAAAAACTTATACTTAGGCATGCATGGGCAAAAACTGTTTTGCATAGTTCCTGCATAGTTGCTCTGTCCTCATCTGCGGTCGAAGACGCTCGCTAACGTTATCTATGCACGCGCGAAGTTAGGAAACGTTTGTTTGTATAGATCAACAAAGCTAGCGTCCATTTTTGGTCCCCTAGGACTTTCGACCGCTTGAACGGAGTAAAAGTATTTAGGGCTTGGGGTTGAGTATACTACATTTTGAGCACAGGATAACATGATCCTGAAGGTATGCTAAGTCTTTCGGAGTAACACCCGCCGCAAGAGCAACATCAGAAACAAGTGTATCCAAACTTCTTTTCGATGCATGGATCGACGCCATAGCTAATTTTTGAACACTTCCTTTGTTTCTAGTTGCCACCTTACCTACAAACACGAACATATCTAATTTTAACAAACCCGGCTAGAGGTTATGCTGCATTTCTTGATGCTCACATAAAAGTTGCGCTTATCCTGAAGATGTTCGCGCTTATGCTGTAGATCCGTGGTGAGGTCGGTTTCCTTTGCGGTTCAACCGCGCGAACACGCCGGGCATGATTGGCTATGACAATGTCGGGGCCCGAGGCATCATGTCTACTTCCACACATGGGATAAAGCTTTTATCTCTGCTGTGCTCGGTTTTCCTACTTTCTTGTTGCTAGTGTGACAAAATATACCGGAGTTCTAGTATTGCTAAGATTACCAGGACGGTACGTAAGTATTTTCGTTCCTCCTCTCCGTCCCTCTCCATGCGGCATCGCACTTCTTTCCCCCCACAAAACTAAACAATTTCTCCTCACCCTAAAAGAAGCAGGGGCCGGCGCGTCTGCTATCTGCCATCACTTTCCGGTTCAGATATCTTAAAAGTCGCGGAAGCTCCATGTGTTTTCTCAACTAACTTAACCACAACTCGCGTATGACAGATTTTTCGATTGAAGAGCTGCTTGGCAAGCAAATTCACAACTATGGTGGTCGGGCTCCTGTTTTGGGTTGAGCCTCAATTTTGCATCTGTAGTCTAGGCTCTCCCCTGCTCCCCTCGACAATGTGTTTTGGATACCTGAAGGAACTGGGGGTAGGAGTGGACGGGCAGGCTGCATCCCAGCATCGTAGCCTCGGATTGGAGTAACACTTGCATCTTGTGCCGAAAGCAGATATCTACTAGTGATCACTGCGGCGAACTTGAATGACCACAGAGGTTGCTAGAAGAAGACCTGTCGCCGAAGCAGGTTCCGCTTCCGGTCAGGCTGAACCCCTTTCACTCCCCGTATCAGCTTGGGTGCTTCCCTGATTCCCCCGGCGGCTTTCGTGGTAGAGCAGCTCGCGTTCATGAGTCTTTGTATGCTACGCCATACACCCGCTAAAAACGAAGGCAATGTTACGGCAGTAGGAAATAATCCTTCACTCTTCAGGCGTTAGTGGTTTTCCAACGGTACAATTCGCTGCGGCCGCCTCCCATTTCTTGTTGGCACGCGTGCTGCCATGGTATACACAAATTCAACGATTCTGTCTAGGGGTTATCTACAATGCTTGTCACCCTTCTACAGTGTGTGCGGTAATCTCGTCACTTTCCCCACCCCTGACGCTGCCGACGTCTACCTCTCCACCTAGTAAATTTATTTTGCTACTCAGCAGCATGCCCGCTATTTCTATCCGTGATCGGTACTTTGTTGAAATGGAAGCTCCCTGTCTATAGAGAAGCCTGAGAAGTAGGTTTTCTCAGCCTATAGAGAGAAGCCTGAGAAGTAGGTTTTCCCAGCTTATATAGAGAAGCCCGAGAAGTAGGTTTTCCCAGATTATATAGAAAAGCCTGAGAAGATTGTCTTCCGTTTGTTGCATGCCCTCTACTTTGCCAAAGCTTGTGCCGTTGCCTAGCTGGACCGTTCCGCTCTTTATGATATAATAATAGCCTCCCCAAACGTGGAGAAGCGTAGAAAGTGTTTTGCCTGGCTCCACGTAGAGCATGGTGCTTTCCATTCAAGCAGCAAAAAACCGCAATAACCTTTGTTTAGGCGTGGTGCGAAGGGCTAGCAAATCCTTCGCTGCTGACACATCCCGATGAGCTGACAGCCGGCGTACACTTCAATATTCTACGTCCATTGGTTTTGTTGCTACAGGGGGGGTGAGTAGGGGAACGGGTATGCTAACCCTCACACGGCGGAACGTCCAGCCATTGCTTGCCCCACTGGAGACAGCATGGACCCAAATCCATATACGCTTCAAAGGGAAGTAACTAAGATTTTTTTGTAACAGGGAATGGCTAGCTCGTTATTTACATGGGCTTCGGGTTAGCCTGCAACGTGGAACTTTCTCGAGGGTTCTGAATGAAGCAAGCACGAAAGTTTGCCAAGGGGACACTCCGTGACCTTTTCATGAGCTCCACTAAAAAGAAAGAACTAAAGGGACGGGTTCTTAAGACTGGGTGCTGCTCTGCACTGTCTGTAGGGTCGTCAAAGCATCTGCGCAGCAAGCTGGGGCTGGAGCGGATAAGAGACGATGCGCCTCTCACTGCAACACCTACTGTTACAGAATCATACAACGTATTTCCTACTTTGTGTTCAATTCATGACTAGTATGAGCCAGCTGAAAGCAGAAATACGGAGTCGCCTCGAGGAATCCCCTCAGTTTTATCGCCTGCAAACACGTTTCGTCTGTAAAACCGAGGTTTTCCAGCATTTAGCTCACCCAGTATACGGTATTGTCCGTCGTGCGCTAAGGGCGCGTCCTGCGCATTTTGGAATGCATAGGGGATAATATTTGCCCGTCAGTCTTATAAGGCACGAAACAATCCACTGTAGAAAACACTGTCACGGTAAAGTGCGAAAATGCGTTTTCAACGGGCGGCATTTACCCTTCGCCGCAGTAGCGGAATGACCTGCAGGCGCATTTGCCCGCTGTACATCGCATGTGTGAATATAACTATAGGGTTCCAGCTCCACATCTTTCCTGCACTTTTACTAAAATGCAAAAACACGACTAATGCAATTTGTGTACGAGCAATTGCGCTGGAGAAGTTGTGGCCTTTGTTGAAGACGAACGGGTTTGAGGCGCGAACCCTGAAATTAATGCAATTTTAAGCATAAAAGGTCGCGTCGTTAGCAAGTACAAGCTACTAATGAGGCTAGTTGAAGCCACAAGCGTTGTCGTAGTGTTGCCTCTCCAAAGGCGCTCAATGTGTAGTGCCGCACACGGCTGTCGCATCCGCAACATGGCTCGGCTAAGCCATAAAAGGAATAATGAACAACTAGACACAGTAAAATATGCTTTACAAACAGGAATTCCGCGTATGGCTAGCGGTGTGGGCGGGTCTCTTCTTCACTATAGAGACAAAGACGTGTCACTTACGCCGCCCCTGTGCTCTCAGCGTAAAGTTCACGGCCTTTCATTCTTTTACGAATTGAATTGCAAGAACAATTCAATAGAGTGCAAATAATGGGAAATATTTGGAGACTCTAGTGCTGGCGTAAAGGACACTCGCGACATGCTAGATTTAGACTTAGTCAAGCTACCGCGTCGGCCTCTGGGGCACTCTATAATGCCTCTAGGCCAGCAAGTTGGGGCTGCAAGGAATGAGTTCCGGCCGGTTAAGGAAAACAAAAAGGATTGAGCAGTGAAACGTATTTTTTGAATATTCTTATATCCAGGATTGCGCCGGAGTTCTAAAGGTATGCTCGACAAACCTTCGCATCATGGACATCCAGCTTGACGTCGTGCAGTAAGAGCAGTTTAAATGACCTCCACCTCGAACCTGACCCTCTCCTTTACTGTTTTTCTGCAAATTTCCTGCGACAATAGTTGGCAACCAACATAATGGTAACTGAGAAGAAGCATTGTCGAGTTTAACTTTCGTCACTTCGATAAAAAAAAAAGGACAGCCAGCGCGAGAGAATTGCATGGGGGAAAGGAACTTCTTTGCCCCTCTTTCCCAAGGCATAGTACGTATGGGGAGTTGGGTGTTCGCCAGTAGCAGGCATGGCAAGAGGAAGAAAGCCTAAGGAGGGGGGTGACTCGGCTGCAGGACCAGAGGCAGCCGGGACCCCACTTCGCGGTGAGCTCCTTCATAAGGCTCTCGGAGATGTTTCACGCACGGCAGATGGGAGCGGCTACGCTTTCACTCGATTGACATGTTGCGGAAAAGGTGTAACTACGTTGCCAACTTCCCTGCAACTCTATGTTCATCTGCGGTATATAGATATATCCAACAACAAAATCAGGGATATCGCTGCTTTCTCTAGGCTACCCTACCTTTTGACGCTAAATGCGTCGGGAAATAATATAGAAGATGTATCATGTCTCTCCTCTCCAGAAGCGCTGCCGTACCTGTTTCTGCTCAATCTGAGTAGTAACAAGATATCTAGGGCCCCCCAACTGGCCCTGCAGAAATTGACTCGCCTCGCGCTTGACGCGAATCCAATCACCACACTAGAGGGGTTCGAACAGCCACCATTGCTAACTCACTTGAGCCTTCGAGGAACTCCACTAGAAACTTTAGATTCCCTGCCTCCATCAGACACTATAACATCCCTTTACTTGTCACATACTCCAATGCAGCAACTGCGTCAGCTACAGAGACTTCCGCAAATAAAAACGTTGGACTTGGAGGGCGTCCCCCTTCCTCCTGATCAACTCCACATTCTGGTTCTTCTCCCAAAGCTGAGGGAATTGTCCCTATCTTCTCCAGAACAATATTCGGACGATGAGCACTTTAGGGCTGAGATTCTCAGGGTCCTCCCTCGTCTTCACTGGATAAACGGCCGTGGAGTAACATCAGATGAGCTGAAGGCAGCGAGGGCTCTGCGCGAGGCAAGCGCACAGCAAGAAAAGGAACTGGGACAGCAAGCAATTCAGCAGGATCTGGAAGGCGCGGAGACCATAGAGGCTTAAGTTGACTGGGACTCGACTGCGTTTCAACCAGGTCCTGGATTGTCGTGTTCCCTTTGTTGAGGGACTCATACTGATGGCATCCACTCATCTGAGTCTCCTGCACAAGGCAGAACCACCGAAAAAACCGGAACACCAGGGACGGAGCACACGGTTGTGACTTAGATGGTGCTTCAGGCACTAGAAAAGTAGGGTGGCGAAAAAACGCCAAGCTTCTGCAGGGCACCGTTCACAATCAGAATGCACTCCAAACATTTGGACGCAAGCGTCCAGCTGTATCCCATGACACTGTGAGACATTGCTGAGTATTTCGGGACTAGGTACCCAAAGACATGATTTCAAAACATGGAGATATTCTTGTTTATACCGTTGCGAAACGAAAGAAACAAGTTACCTTCCGACGCGGACCACAGAAGTAGCGACGGTGTGGTTGTGTTGGTAAATAAAATGTTGTGCGATTATACGGCGGTTTGTGCCCACGGGTCTGCCTCAATTATCTCTATCGGCGCTCCCATTCAATACTGTTTACAAGCGCTGCAGGGCCCGAGATTACAGCAACACCACTGGTGGAACGTCGGTTGCTAAGGAAACGTTGGATCCAGCTTCACAGTTTAGCCACAACCGCATGGAATCTGTTGCGCATGAATTACCGGAAAAAAAACCGCAGGGACGTAGAGACACAGCTGTGATGCTTTGTCGTTGCAGCCTTCTCTGGATACACCACATGATGATACCAGATTGAAGACGCCTACCGGATTTGTTTGTTGGTGGGCCGTGCCCCCAAGCATCTAAACTATGCCACTGTTAAGGCTAAAACTTGGCGGTTTCGAATTGAGGCGGCAAACTGTTCTGTTGTAGAGCGAAGGACAGACGGCACACCATTGCTAGGCAGTCTCGACAAATGGTAACAATTCGAAATCCACACTACCCAATGGGACGTCCCCTAGTCGGATGCCACACTGTGTAAGTCTCATGAAGGCTAGATGCAGGATATGGGAGAGACGAGCAGCTCTCAGCAAGGCTTAAATGCGCAACTAGATAAAAGAGGCCTGACCACTTGACGCTGGCACAGCGAGAGACCATAGGATACCGGTACAGTCAACAAATTCGCTCAATTATCGACCCTCTATGGCTTCAGTGGTGCTGTCAACGGAACAAATTAGCCCAATTATCGACCCTCTATGGCTTCAGTGGTGCTGCTGTGAGGATGGCGCAGACTTGAAACAGACATTGCGCAATGCGAAAATAGTCCAGTCTGTAGCTAGAACTGAGTAGAACTGGCTTTTCTACGTTAAATGACTAGGAAAAAACTGCAGTACTTGTGCTTGAGATCTAGAGATGAAAGGAGAAATCGCCTAAAGGTGTCAGGTATAAGCCATTCGAAGCAAACGAATAAAAGATCACAATGAGAATAATCTGAGAAACCTCACGCCACTGCGGCTTCAACGCCATAGGGGGAGCCACTATAGCACTCGAGAAGCTAGGGTTGCCAATCGCCTCCCTAGAAGGCATTTTAGTTCCCTGTTCATTTGCAGCTGAAGTGCTAGGCGGAGGGTAGTTTGGTCACTCCAGCGGTTTTTTTTAGGGAATTTTCCAACGAGGCACCCTGATACGTTGATGCTCGCGAGCATGATCAGAGCAAAAGGAACGTAAGGCAGGGTCGAAGAGGAAGTGCAAAAGAATCACCTTGTGGCTAGATACAGTGCAGAATTGAGCTGCTTAGCTCACTGCTCTTTGCCAGGCCAACGTACAGAACAAACGCCGCTTCGCATTGCGCAATTCAATCTCGTAACGCGCCTCCCAGTTAGACTGCCTCCGCCAATCACAGCGCAAATGAGTCCTTGCCACCCCTATTTTGCCTTAAAATTAAGTAAGTGCTGGGATACAGTTGATCTACGTAGAGGTCGCTGTTCTTTTTTGTGCCTCTGAAAACATTACGCATATTGATCCTTGCTGCCACTGTGTTGCCTTCAAATACTGTATTGTATTGTATTCAGTTGAGTTACGCAGAGCTTGCTTTTCTCCTTCTTGTAGAAACTATTCAGTAAATCTTATCTACAGATCACTAAGTGTTGTAGAAACCACGCCTAGCTTGCGGTCCCCGGAGCCTTATTGAAGCTACAGCGAGATCGAGTGCCTGGACTAAACTGTCCCGGTTGAAAGTGGGAACCATGAAAGTGGAAACGTGCAATACGTTTGTAGGACCCGAAAGTCTCAACTAAAAACACAAAAGATGCGGTGTTGTGCTGCTGCTTTTGCACTCGAACAAGAAGATCTCTCAATGCAGTGAGTATGAACCCTGGCTACATCGGGCTGTCACCCAAGGCGATACATGCTTGCTGCCGATGCGGCGCGCGCATGCAGCCACAGGCAAGGCCTAGCCTTTTCCAGAGCATACAACACAACGCCGTATCTGCTAGTTTTTTAGTTGAGACCTTTGAGCACTACAAACATATTAAACGTTTCCGCTTTCACGATTCCCACGTTATAGAGGGTGTGAACGAACCATACTTTGACGTTTAACACTTCAACCTAGCCCGGTTTCCACAAAATAGTCCATGCCTCCCGTAGTTGGCAATGCAAAGATAAACGCGCCCGTTATCTAGAAGAAAAAGTAGTTCAATATCCGAAAAAGGGACGAGGCACGTCAACCTGTCGCTTCCTTTGAATATCTTTTGACAGCCAAAAGGTAGACATGTCTGGTAGCGCAATAAAACGTTTTGAGCACCTATGCAGTTAAATTGGAGATGCTGCATAGGGTAGCGCAACAGTTGCTCTAAAACAGCGAATTAGTTTTCCCTTCGGGTTTTGTTACGTGACTTCTAGGCGAATGCCAGGCAGTACAACTGCTGACTTCTTCACACTGCAATGGATGGGGAGACAGAAGTAGTCATGGAGGAGGGAGGTGAGTTCATCTCATTCCATTTCGAAAGTAGCCAGAAAAAGCGGTGAGAAGAATGCTTCTACTCACGTCCTGGACATCTTTACGTGGCACTTGCTGCAGTGTCGGATAGCCTCGGCCAAGGGGGCGTGGAGAATAAACTGTCATTTACAGAGTCGAATAAACCAGTTTTAATGGTGAGCACCTGTACGCAATATGTATTGGTGTATCTATAACGGAAAGATGGCTGCAGAGATGTCATACGCTTTCTATAAGAATTGTTGCGGCGTCTGCTCTGTGTAACATACAAGCTTAGATTGTCGTCACGCGGAGAGCATAGCTGACTGATGTAACCTGCGGACGCTTATCTGAATGCGTTTCTTCTCAGAATATCTCATCCGAAAGAAGAGCTGCCCCAGGGTCTAAATTGTCTGCTTTAGTGTCTGGGCTGCAAGCTGCAGATGGGGCCAAAGGGAAGCTCACTCAAAAACAAAAACACAGAGCGAAGCAAACACCAATTGTGTGGGCGCCGCTGTTTTACGTCGGGATAGTGGCTGCAATTTTCGTTTATCGGTTCCCCTGCGCCCAAGTTGACCTCACAGAGACTCCTTCTGATAAGCAACAGTTTGTGGAGGAGAAAAATGATGAAACTCTGTACTGCGACAGCGCCCAGACGCGGGAAGAGGCCAATGGCGACGAAGAGTGCGTTGCTTGCCCCCAAAATGCCGAATGTGCAGGAGGGATTATGACGTGCCTTTCTGGTTATACTCCCCGCGATAGCAAAAACGGGCAGCAAGCATCGCCGAAAGTCTGTGTCGAGGACATTACGAAGAAGGCGAAAGCTTCCGAAGTGTTGAAATCACTGATAGAAATTTTGAGAGAGAGACAGGGTAGGTATGACTGTGGATACCCTGTGGAACCTCTATTTAGCCCCTCGAAACATCTAGAAGGGAAACCCTGGAGCAAAGCAATCACGAAGATGTGCAACGGCCCTGGGCTAACGCGCTGGCAGATGAACTTCCACCAGGAGATTGGTCCAGCTATTGCGGATGACGGGATCTACTTCTGGTTATTTTACCACTTCTTGACTCCAGAAGCTGCTGCCGAAATTGATATCCAGGTCAGCGAAGCATATTAAATTGCAGTATAATATAAGATTAACTTCGTTGTGTATTTCTTTACTGAAAAAATGTGGAGAATGTGGCTGCCAATTTTCATCATTCACATGCGAATGTTTTTGGCACTGCGCAGAATTGTGGACTTTGGAGACGTTTCAAACTGTTGACTCGAGTGCTTTTCTGGCTGTAACTCGTGTATTTTAGGTGGAGAGACAGTATTTGTTCGTTCCTCTTTCCAATCCGGTGGATTTTCCCGAACTTCACGAACGACTTTTGCGGGAACAGAGCAGAGCTAAAGGAATCACCTTCACCTATACGTACACGGGACCAGACACAATGAAGCCTCTCAGTTGTAAAATAAGCCAAATGGCCCATGACCACTTGCTTGCCCTCGTGGGGTTACTATTCCTGTTAGTGCTGTGCAGTCAGGCCGGTCAACACTTTTACTCAAGATACTATATAAAACAGGAAGTACTCAACCTCATTCGACTGCATTCGCAACGTGGAGGTGTCGCTTCACTGACCCGTGGTATCCCGACAGATATCCTCTTTAATTTACTCTGCGAACGGCTTGCAAAGAAAGGCGCTTTGGCGCAGTTTCTCCTACGGGGTAGACTTACTGTAGAACGGGTGGACGAGGCATGCCACGACCTGCTTTGGGAACCGCAGACAGGCGTACATGCTTACAGACTAAACGAAACAAATCACTGGTGGGCTGAAAATGGCAATCGACAAGGCCCAGACCGAGAAAACCGCCATTTGTCGAATTTTAAGGGCCCAACTGTAGGACCAACTCAAAGTTCGGAGAGGCCCACCCCTACTACTAGCATACTTGGTTCCCCCCTTCACCAACACCCGGATAACGGGGATCCGCAAATGCAAGAAGGAGGGAGCGGCCCTGTCCAGTCTTGTGGTCGTGGATGCTCTTCCCTTCCCGGGCATTCGTGGGACCATGGCACCGCGCATGCCACTGCGGGCTACCCTACGCTTTCTACGTTCAGGCAGGTGCGTAGGCAAATCTGCTGGCTGCGCGGTTCCATGTCTTGCTTCGCAAAAAGGATCTGGGAAGAGCCGACACTTCTTTTACCGTCCTTCCGTGACTTCCTTGCGACCCTATCGGATGTGTACAGCAGGCGGCTTCCAACGAGCAAGGGAGTGCTACAGAAGGGGTTACAAAGCCAGCGCGTGGGCTGGACGATTACTCAGGACTAATGCGAGAATTTCGGGAGCTTCAGCGGGCCAGCCAGACTATCTCTGGGGAGCTAGCAAGGGAGATACATCTCCGAAGCCCTTCTCCTTAAGTGGCGGAGTAGCATATCAACCTAGCACAATATAATTTGCATTTCGTCCCCACATGTGGCCTTATAGATGCTTTGAGTTTGCAAAGCCCAATTTCGCCCGCTGGGCGATTACCAAATTTATGCTGCAAGCTGCATACCGAAGCAGCAAAACTTGCATCTCATGATGCTCGGCAAAAGAGAGCCGTTTCCCGTGCAGTAGGGTTGCGATTTGTTCCATTTAGGGGAAGAGCTGCTTTCGGGCAGGCTTTTGATTCAATTCCAGAAGGAGCCTATCCGTTGCGTCTGCTTTCGTCGCCCATTGGCGACTCGCTCCCGTGGGATTCACTCGGTGGCAGATGCCACTGACCTGGTGCATGGATGCAGACCACGACTAGCAGATTAGAACAGGCCTGCTGCATTTTTTTGTGCACCGGTAGTACAGAGTAGCCTACGCTTGAGCACAAGCACGCCTTGATGCTTCGAAATTCTATGCAAACGTTCTGTCGTCCTCCGATTAGAAGAGAAAGCCGTCGGGATATACAGTACAGAGCACGAAGCGTTTCGTTCGTACACAGCTTGCCTGAAGACGATGGAAAAGTGAGATTGCGTAAACATTCTGTTGCGTCGGCTATCCGCACATGCGTTTTTGCCTGAGCGCACGCCTGCGGATGATCGAAGGTTAACAGTTGTCTACACTATTACTGTATGCAGCAAAAGGGGCTTTGTTTGTGCTTGCCTAAGGGGTTCCCTTGCAGCTCTAGTTGCAGAAAGGTGCGTTGCACCTCATGTTAGGCCGCCTCGCCTACCCCAGCCGGTGCCCTTCAGACCGCCAGGCCCAGGCCTACCGGGGGATGGAGGGGAGGTCAGTTTCTTTTTGGAAACTGTTGCGTCAAGTATTTTGACTCTTGTGCAGCAGAGGGCGATCGTTGAATGAAATCCAGGAATCTGCGTTGATGCGTTAAGGTTGACGCGTGCTGTAACAAGTTCCAACGGACCAAAGCACCCTAACGTATGAAACAAGTAATGCCGAAATAAGAGAATTACACTTGCTATTTGGAGGCGCTGGCCCGAGACGGAGGCAACTGCGTTCGTCAGCGCGCAAGATACATTGAAAGCTGCAGTGACGGCAACAAATTGAAGGCAAATGGGCCGATGTGAGGCAAAATGTAAATGCAGTACATTCGTTTTAGTCAAAAAGGCGAAAGCTGTTCTTGGTGGTGGGAAGCGTCTGCTGGGCTGTGCGGTTTTTTTTTCATCGAAATCCAGCTAAAACGAGTTCTTGGGCGAAGCAAAGAAACCGTAGCACGCCTGGCGCATACAAGCCCCTCCTTTGTATTGCATACTACGCGCTGTTTCAGGAAGCACTGATATCTGTTCGTGGCGCCCAGCCTACACTGAATGTAGTATAGTCCCATCCGTTTTTCGGAAGCGATATCAGGGGCATTCTGCAAATCCTCCCAGCATGCTTCCAGGAACTTGCATTTGCGAAATACGTACTACTGAGCCATGGAACAAGTTGGCGTAATTCTAGCTCGAGAGGGTCTGTGTCCTGCGAATATCAGTGCCATGTAACCGCGAAGTTACTAGTAAATGGTGCTACGGAAGATAGATAGTTGGTCCGTACCAGACCAAAGTGCATTTCGTTCTCACCACAAAGTAGCTCGCATGTCTGCAACTTCTTCTCTCCATCAGAATGTGCAGAAGGCCTGCCGAAACTAGTGGACTTTCCCTTGTTGTTTATTTCACCGCTTGCACTTGCAAATTCGTTTTCAGTCAGTGTTGTACTTATGGCATCCCCCCTTCCTGTTTATTGCATATCCACGCATACAACCGTCCACAAACACCGCCGTCAGAGAAGTAACCCTGTCGCCGATGTAGCTGTCAACGAATTGCGCTCCTTGCCAATGGATTGAGGAGAAATGTGAGAAACATGATGAAACGTTTAATTTGAACAGGCTGCAACTGATTCCTTGCAGACAACCTCCAAGCAGTACAGTCAAACGCTTTACGGTGCAGTCAATTACTTTTGCTAGCCCTCTGGAGGCGAGAAGTGACACAACGCTATGATCTCTGATTTGGACAGCGTAAATAACAGTAGATAAGCGGAAGCAAGCAAGCCCATAATGGTGAACAGAGCGGACGGGTGCACTGATATTTCTCGTTGAAATTTGAGGCACGTTACCTTCTCCAAGGTGATTAGTCTTCAGGACTTGGCGCGCATAGATGCGTAGGCCAGGACCAGTTGGGAACTGAAGTATTATTGTGCACTATTATTATTATGCATTATGGAAGCCGTGCTCAAAAGTACGAATGTATTGTGCTAATTACATCCGGCAGAGCGGCTACTCCCTGAATGAACCAGCAATTGTGTACTTTCAGAGCTCCACATCATGCCACTCATTTTCACGCGCCTGATGTTCAAAAGCGATGCTGCCGGAGGGCGTATTTACTACAACAGAGCGTTAATATCCAGCAGTTTATGCTGATCTGCTTCACCTGCAAGAGGGGAACCGTGTCTTGTACTGATGCGTCAAGGCCTAAACCTGGTCGCAGTACGTGAAGGTTTCTTATACATCGGCGGGCAGTTGCACTCGGGTCCTGGGACTTTCAGCCTGATTTCTGTCTGCAGAGCCATCCAGCTGTTATTGCACCATGCGAGGTAGTCATATTGCTGTTTGGCTTCGCCTTGCTGTTTTCGCATTGCTCCTTGTGTTGCGGCCTAACGAAAGCAATCGGCCCTGCAGCTCCTCCCCCTTATATCCTGCTTTCCTCCAGCAATCCTTTCTTTGACCGTTTGTATAGAATCTCAGTTTCCAGTTGTACTCTGCTTGAATGCTCAATGTAGATCTTTTGAGAAACTCCCCTTCAGAAGGGCCAGTCTATGGGGAGTTTGGGGCCTTAGAGCTCATATGGCCATTGGAACATGATCCCACTAACGTCAGTAGATGCACCAGTCACTGCCAGCAGCACTGTGTCTTGTGCCCCCAACGACAACACAAACGCAGATGAAAAACACAACTGTGAGGCGTCGTAGGTATCCAAGTTCCCTCACACGATGGGGTGACGCGAATCCATAACACTAGAGGTACTGGGGGCCCAGTAAGCTGATGAGATATGGGGAGAGCCCTCAGT